AAAGGAGAAACGCTTGGGAGAAAAGTTGTCTTTGTTAAAGATCCAACAACCCAAGTCTCTTCGGCTGAGGGCTAAGTCAGCTCCCAGTCTCTGAAGTTTTCAATAAAAACAAAATGTGACACTTCAGATATTTCTAAGGCAACCCCCCTAAAAGAAAAACAAAAGCACACAAGCAGGAAAAGAAACCCTCTCAAATATATTTTTATATCAGGGTTCTCCCCACCCCTCCCGTGATACAGCAGAGAAATAAGGGCAAAAGCTCAGTTTATCCCCTTGCTTAAACCCACTTTAGAGTCACCTTAGTGTATCTAAATTTTGTTTTGTCTGGATATTTCACACTTTGTGAATCCTCTGCCACCTCCCCATTCTGTCTCTAAAGCCCTCTTCCTTGCGACTCTCTGAAGTCCTTTTCTCTAACTTTCCTCGCCCTTGGCTAAAGATGTATTATCAACCTAGCTGAAGCTGGCCATCCATCATCCACTCTGTATTTTCATTCTCACTTAGTATCTCATTGTTTTATCTGCATCTCATTGGAAGAGAGATGGCACTTAAACCCTTCCACCCACTTCTCTGTTGGAAAACAGTCATTTCTGATCACAGGACAATAAGAGACCACACAAGGAATGCAGAAGTTGGCTCAATAAAAGATATTACCTCATCCACCTTGTCTCTATAATGTCACTTCCAGTCATTTCCCCTCTAACCCATCGTCTTAGATTGTTCATACAGGACTAGATCCCAAGAGGTGCTGAGCACCTGCCATTGTGCATTGCTATAACTGAGAACATTAAATGGCAGGTGGTTTCCCATTTATTAGTACTTCATTCTTAATTTTAGGTCTTATACATGAGTTATAACATGTGGGGTCCCGCAGGGATCTGTTGTGGGTCCAGTTCTGTTCAATATCTTCATCAATGATTTAGATAATCGCATAGAGAGTACAGTTATAAAGTTTGCGGACAAAACCCAGCTGAGAGGAGCTGCAAGTGCTTTGGAAGATAGGATTAAAATTCAAAATGATCTGGACAAACTGGAGAAATGTCTGAAGTTAATAGGATGAAATTTAATAAGGACAAATGCAAAGTATTCCATTTAGGAACAAACAATCAGTTGCACACATACAAAATGGAAAATGACTGCCTACGGAAGGAGTACTTCAGAAAGGGATCTGGGGATCATAGTGGACCATAAGCTAAATATGAGTCAACAGTATAACACTGTTGCAAAAAAAGCAAACATCATTCTGGGATGTATTAACAGGTTTGTTGTAAGCAAGACACAAGAAGTAATTCTTCTGCTCTACTCCGTGCTGATTAGGCCTCAGCTGGAGCATTGTGTCCAGTTCTGGGTGCCACATTTCAGGAAGGATGTGGACAAATTGGAGAGAGTCCAGAGAAGAGCGACAAAAATGATTAAAGGTCTAGAAAACATGACCTATGAGGGAAGAGTGAAAAAATTGGGTTTGTTTAGTCTGGAAAAGAGAAGACTGAGAGGTGACATGATAACAGTTTTCAGTATGTAAAAGGTTATTACAAGGAGGAGGGAGAAAAATTGTTTTTCTTAACCTCTGAGGACAGGACAAGAAGCAATGGGCTTAAATTGCAGCACGGGCGGTTTATGTTGGACATTAGGAAAAACTTCCTTTCAGGGTGGTTAAGCACTGGAATAAATTGCCTAGGGAGGTTGTGGAATCTCCATCATTGGAGACTTTTAAGAGCAGGTTAGACAAACACCTGTCAGGGATGGTCTAAATAATACTTAGTCCTGCCTGGAGTGCAGGGGACTAGATGACTTCTCAAGGTCCCTTCCAGTCCTATGATTCTGTACCAGCTCTCTGCTCCCTCCAAATTGAAAAATAATTAACCCTCTAGCACCCATTACTACTTTTGGCAACTTATTCCATTGCCTGTTTTTCTTGTCACCAACTTTGTCTATATCTAATCTAAATTGCCCGTGCAGCAATTTACTTTAACGACTTCATGCTTCAACAATAAATTGGTCCCCGTACTTTTAATAACCTTTTCAATACATGGGTAGTTCCCTAGAAACCTCATCTTTTCTTGCATAGAAAAGACAGGAAGGGCATTCAACAACATAGCAGCCAAGTGCCCATGGCAAAGACACAAATGTTTCATTCCCTTATCACGTATCACTAAGATGATGAGCAACATTCAGTAAAGACTGCCAGAATTTTTAGACCTATATGTAGAATGGCAGCCGAAATGGCTCAGTTTTTTCATTTTTGCTCTGGACTGAAGTGATTCCAAACAAATTTTAAGAAATGATCTGGATTCTTTCCAACCTGATGCCCTTTTGCTTTGAGAAATATTGTGACTCAAACTCAAAATGAACAGTTTAAAAAAAATTCATGTATTTGGAAACTATTGCCAAGAATACTACTCATTTCTCTCCCTCCTACCCCCCACCCTGTCTTATCTCCTGCAAGTTGTTAAACCACTATTGTATGGAAAATGAGGGGCTCTTGGGGTGAGAATGGAGGGGAAAATACAGAAAAAGCTTCATGCTTAAGCAATGTTTGAGCACTGTTGTATTTTAACTAAACCTGAATGGATATGGACAAAATTGTCTGCTTGGAATTAAAAGGCGCATTACAATTTAACCTTATTCCAAGTTCTCTCTCCAAACAAACATTCAAGCACAGAAATTTTGCTAGCATGAATAAATGACAACCACCATCTTAGCCAAAACACCAGGGATTAAACTGGGGACATCCCAAGCAAAAAGCAAAAGCTGAATTAAAGAGCCAAGACACTAATTGGGGCTATAACAGACTCTCATCCTCTGCAGATTGGGCAGAGGAGGACCTATAAGGGGGGGGAGGGGAAAGCCCACAGGATTACAAATAATCATGAAAAACAAAATTATAAGCTTGACTAGTTATTTTATCTTAGTTTAAAAACTTTAAAATGATTCAGAACCACCAAAATATGCACATAACTAGCAGCCTGTGTAACCACATTATGTTACTGTTGTCTTCCTGCCTCCACTTTCCCCCTCCTTGTTTTAGGATAAGATCTTTGGGATGAGGACCACTTTCTCCTATATTTTTGTACAATGTCTAGCAATAACAGAGCTTCTGCCTCGATTATGACCTCTTGATACTACCATAAAGAATAGAGGTGACTGCCCCAAGTTAGTCTTATTTTAGGGTTTCTGAACCTATATAAACCAGTTTACAACTGTGTTAAAAAACTGTCAGTGTTTGAAAGCATCAAACATTGCCACATACTCTCTGTTCAGAGTTTGTACAACACCTAGAACAGTGGGGCTCTGGTCCATGACTAGGGGCTCCTAGGCATTACCGCAACAGAAATAGGTTATAGTATGGAGCGGGTACTAGGGTGCTTCCCTTCAAAGCACATATCAATGCCAAGAGCAGTTAGTTAAAATAAATGGCTCAGAGTAAAGTATAAACAGTACTCATTTAAAGAACAAGTCATTTCCCTTAGCAAAATATCCAGTCTCTAAAGGAATAAGGAGAAAAATGTGTGAATCTTCATTTTCTTAACCCATGCTGTTGTCCGGCACACCACTGCAATTACTCCACTAATACCATATATACCGTAAACCATAACTACTCAACTCCATTGCAGAGAAAAATCTAATCCCGTTTCATCACTGCACATGAGAACGAAGCTCAAAACCAACTGACTGTGTAGATGGAGGCAAATTGCACAGAAAAAGCACAGAAAAAGGGAGGAAGCTTCCAGAAGTTAATAGTGCACAATAGCAAATGCTAGCAGGAATCCACATTTAGAGAATTCATTACATTTCAGGGGGTTGTTCCTTTCCATGAATACTGAGGACTGGAGCAGGAAGGTTTTACTTGTCTCATGGATATTTATTATTCTATTTGCCTCCTTGTACCAGTCAAATCGGATTTGTTTTAAAGGCATTCTAAATTGAGCTGGCATGGTCATTTCAAACTAAAGAGATGCTAACAAGAATGTGCGAAGTACAAATATTAATTCACAAACAACGTTCCTTGGGTGTAAACTCTGTGGGGCAAGGACTCGAGTGTCTAAACACATTGTGAGGTTTACTGGAGTATCAACATAATAGTATGGTGTGGGGGTTCCTATCTGTCACAGTTTGCAGAGATAAATGGGCTACAGGACCAGGATCCGCCCACTCTCTCACTGAGCACTAGTTTTTTTCCTGTAGGGAGCGGTCTCATTGAAGCGAACTGGGTTATTTGAAGAGTAAACCACTATTGAGCATGAGTAAAAATGACAGAATCTGGCCCAGAGTTATTTCAGCAGAAGCAAATGCTAGAAAATCAAATCATGAACCTTTCCGGCCTGAGCTATATTTTGAGGTGATCAGATATTAATTTCTCATATTTGTTTCGGACTACAATGGACCAAATTAATCTTGGATGCAAACAGGTAAAATTCCCATTGAAATCAATGGACGTTACCCCCACTTGTGCTAAAGTAAAATTTGATTCCGTTACTTATTGCCAATATGTGACCTACTAGGATAAGGAAGGGAATTTATTCTGATTTTAAATGCTTTTTTTTTTAAAAGAGAACCTCTCTTACTTATATCATTTACTTAAATAGTCCATATACTTTGATCTGTAAACTCTTACTTATGTGAGTAGGCCTTACTCACCAAGTTTTCCCTTTGAGTGAAGTGGGTTAACTCATGTAGATGGCAAACTCTTCAGGGCAGGGACTTCATCTTTGGCTGAAAAGCTCAAAGCACATGTATGGCACCAGATACATTTTTAATCTTTTCACTTGGGTTAACACCAGATTAGTTAAACCAAGTATTGAGTAGCAATGTCCTGCAGAGTCCACCTTAGACAAAGGATTCCTTTCATAGCCTTCCATTCCCACAGCCATCCCTTCCACAGTCTATGTGAATGAAGTCTAACAATTAAAGGACTGGGGGAAGCTGGAGATTTGTGGGTACTAGTTATCAACAAATAGTCTCAGAAAATTAATTTGGAGAGAAGAAAAAACAAAAGGGGCTTGTTCACTCTTGTCAAAACTAACCAATTACTTTTATTTTTCATCTTTGAGTGATATTCACACCATTCAAGAAAAAACATTTGGGCCATGTGCCTGTGAACATACATGACCTTTATTGGAGACAGGTGGGGTCATTAATTATACAGAAGTAACATCACACCATTCTCTTCCAATTTAATCCCATTTAGTTTCCTTATAAATCTGTAGCAAAAGTGCACTTTTAACAGTTCTTCTTTTAATCTATAGTATATATTCTTTCAATATTATCTCTCTCAAATCAGATATTTTATTTGTAAAAATGTTTCACCAGATATACAAAATACATGTATAGTGTTCTGCATCACTTTTTTGTGTTTACTGTTTAGATTTGTTTTTTAAACTCAGTGCGCTCTCTTTTTGCAAGAGTTACTGATGACAGATTTCTGTTAGTGTCACTATCCGGGGGCTCTGGGTTTTCCTGCGAACAAGTGGAGAGGATTGCTAACCAAGAGCAATTTTCACACAAGTAGGAACAACAAGATGACAAAAAAGGTTTTACGGTTACTGATTAAATCTCTGAAAATGAGAGTACTTTGCATAATAAAAATCAGGAATTGACTGTCCATACTTTTTCTTCTCGAGAAGGAGAGGTGGGAGGGGATGGAACTTGTAACCAATTGTAATATGCTAATATTTACTAATTTCCATTTTAAAGAAAGGAATTAATTGCTAACAGGAGGTTTCCAGTTGTGAAAGGGAACAACAGATAATGAGTACAGCCACCATAAAGGACTGCATGTATATGATGGGTTGTCTTCATGAGGACAATATTTTGGTAAAATATTCTATTTATCCCGTACAAATCACAGAATTGCATAAATTAAATGTCCTCATAGATAACAATCACCAGTGCGTACTACGAAATGCTGTACTAAGACCAACAAGGCAGAAGACAGCTTTGGTGTTATTTAACAAGATGAAGAAAGGAAAATATCAATATCCACTCATGGTTTAGAGCCAGCTATGACAAGCTTTGGCACTGTAAAAGGACTTTTCAAAAAGAAAATTACATAAAGGGTTTCAGAGATTCCTTATAAAATCCCTTTAATCTTTTCTTTCTAATTATCCTTGAGATTATACTATATACATTTGTAATGGATAGTTACTTAAATTCAGTCTTCATAAGACTAACATACTTTTCCCCTGTTAAGCAAGGCCTATAGTGGCATATCAAATCAGAGAGCATTTTCAGGGGCAATGATTCACATGTCAAAACTAATGTACCCAACAAGATGAAGAGGAACTCTTTGCAAGGTAGTGTATGTTAACCTTTCTTTGTTTTTTGTTTTTCTTCCTTAATGGAAATTTCTTATTTCAAAGACTAGGAACAACTGGATTAGTTATGTAAATAATGCTTCCCTTGGTTAACTCTTCACAATTAGTGCTGCTTCTGGGTATTATCATAGGCAGATATGGTCCTGCATCTGTTTACTATATACTGAATGAAATGCTGAACAGATCCTGTTTCAGAAGAGGGCACTTTTGGCTTATGCAATAGCTCCAAGAAATACTGTAACTTTAAACTTTCTATAACAACTGGTTGCAAGACATGCACTTTTAAAAGCTCAACTGCTTCTTTGCTCCCCTTGAATTTGCAGCATTGTGGCTTTGAGAGTCAAACTTTTGCTTAAAAAATTAAAAAGTACAACAGATTAGGTTAAATGTGGAAAAAAAATTACATCTTCTGGAGGGGGGACTAGGAAGTAAAAGTTAACAATATACAAAAAAGAGTGCTATTAGTGTTATCTAAAACCAAGATGATACATACTGAGGAATTTATAATGCTGCAGAAATAGCTTTTTGTCTACCTTTTTAAAAATTACAGACTTGACGTTCCCAATATGTTTGAGCACTGTACTGTTTCGCATGTCTGAGTCACCAAAAATATCCAGCAACTGGCTGCTGCTCATATCTCAAAATATGTGTTCAGCTGACACTGAATATTGAAATCGTTCTGCTAAAATACAGAAAAATGACGATGATAGACTCCAAGGTATAGCCTCAGGCTGACACTGAATGGTAAAGAATTCCACAATGCTACTTTTAAAACCTTTCTTCAGTTCTTGAACAAATAAGCAGCCAGGTTTCAAGTAGAGGTAACCCAGATTTTGGAAGCTAGCAATGTAAAAAAAAGCCCAGAAAGAAAATCAGAGCAAAAGCTCTTCTTGTTATGGAAGTCAGCACTCATCCTCCAAGAAATGGCAGAGGTAAACCTTTCTTCTCCCTGCTGGATCTCTCATGGTCCTACAGCAATGATGAGGAATTGTTTCTGCTGTCACTGATGTCCTTGGGACATAACCTTGATCCCTTTTTTATTTGTACACATTTATCATTTCAGTTTTAGTCTCTTGACTGGTAGAAGAGGATATATCCGGATTCTGAGTTTTTGGAAATGTCTGATGTTAACCCATAGAATTCTTCAATGGCCTGGGCATCAATTTTCTGCAATTCAACAAGACATTAAGATTAGACCCACTCAAAATAACCAACACTGAGCACATACACCCTCCCCCAATGAAATACTATTTCCAGTTTACTATATGAAGAAGTTGACTGAAAGCTACCCAATATTAATACACCAAACATTTCTTCAGTAGATTAAACTGCTTAATTTGGAGAAGATTAAATCAGGATAAATTTATAAGACTGTCAGATCAAGAAAATAGTGCACTGTGAAGCTACAGTGCACACACAAGGGCTCTATGAAGGCCTGCTCTAAAAATTCTAGCTGACATTTCACCCTCAGCTCTTTCCAACAACTGGAGTCGCCACCTTCCCTTACCCAAAGCCATGCAGCCTGTATGAAGATGAAAAAGAGTCTGCTGTTAACATGGGAAAATATCTCCACCGGATAATAAGGAGTGCGCACAAAATTTTTAGTAAATTCAACAGGCAGTCTAAATGAACTGCTACCTCACAAGAGGTGATTGGGGCTTCAAAAATGAACACAACTCCTGCACTATCGGTTACTAATCAGGATCACCTATCAATAATGTAACACACAGTCACTATTTTCACATTAACTCTGTAAGAGTATACAACAAATGGGGCTTGCTCTCCCTGGAATCTAGCATCATGCTGACTAGTATGATGTTCAGAACCTCACGAGTATTTAGATAGGGGAATAGCTTCTTTTCAATACAGACAGGAATAAATTTCTTGCCTACACAATTTAAAATGGAGAGAAAATTATTGCAGGAAAGCACAGCCAGAAAAATGAGTTTTGCATTTTGCTCTCAAAGCGGTGAGGCCTATGGTCATTATCTCTTGCGGGTGTGAGTTCCACGGTCGTGGTCCATCTTCTGCGAATGAGTTGTTTCTCATTATTGGTCAACAATTTCATTGTTCCAGTGGAATGCAGCTGTCCTGAGAGGTCAGTGTCAGGAAGAGCTAATCCCATGTAAGACTAAATTGGATTCTGCAGTCAATGGGGAGCCAGTACAGAGACTGAAATACTAGAACGAATGCTCATGACCTGTGTTGCTAAGCAGACAATGGGTTCCTTTAGTATTTTAAAATGCCTTTAGGTTACATGATCCACCAGGATAAGATGATGGCCTGAGGTGGGGAGCCAAGAGGAAATCAGTCTAGAGCGACTGAAGCTGCAATCTCCTCTACCATCCCCAAAATAGAAGATTTGGGAACCAGAGAGAAACTAAGTATATGAAAGAATCGCTGGGTGACCTTTAATACTATCCCACACAGCAGCGAAGATGGCTTTGGGATACCACAAAACCAAGATTCTTGGTCCAAAGAAGAAACTCTGCTTTGGGTGGAGGAAACAGGGAGCGTTCTCTGCTTGAACACACAGAGGAAGGCCCCAAGCTACAACTCGTCTAAGGAACCTCATCAACACCAAAATGGCTATTAGTACAGAATAGGCAGGAGATACAGTCCTTGGTATGAAGGAGTCTCTCAGAATTGATAGCATCTTGGTTCTGAACTCACAGATCCATATGGAGTCAAATATTCAGGACAAAAAACAGTGGCCTTTTTCTTTTTTTCCTTCTCTACACCTCAGTTCTGAGGGAGAGAGCAATGGTACTGAGGCTTCACAGTACGTGGGCCAAAGGGAGTATTTCCCTCTTCAGATCAGGGGTCTCTTGGGATTCAGACTTCCACATGGCATCAAGCAAGGAATAAAGGCTCAATGCCAACTCAAACATCATACTGAGCTGCTTTAAGGGTGTATCCAGAACTGAGATTCCTGGTCCTTTTGAGCCCTCAGGGTTAAGGTAGCACAAAAGGCATTTCTCAGTATGTGCACCTCAGTGGGACATAGGCAGCATTACATATGCAGGGCTGTTAAGCACATTTTCACATTACAACTGGCATCATTTGAAACTGGTTACCTTGCCAGCCATCCTATGAAAATAAGAGGTGCCCAGTACAGAGAAACAATTAACACACAAATTAACTGCAATGACGCAACTACACTATATAGCTATAATTAAAAGCAGGAGAGTTTAGTAACAACCTAAAATACAGCAAACAGAAAAGGGAGAAATCTAAAGGGACTCCAATTAGACATCCAACAGGAACTAGAGGATAGCACTGCAGCTCCATATATAATGTTCAGGCTGAACGATCAGTACCACAAGGGAACTTGCCTGCAGCCCCAACCACCAAAGCTTACTAGAAGTTTCCAGTTAAGAAAATGCAGAGTGCACAGGCTGAACCAAGCATGTGAATTTGTACAGGTGATAGCCAAAGAACCACCAATTTATTCCTTAGTATGTTTATGTGCATGAGCAGATCCAGCAGCTTCAGCAATGTTCTGGTGGTCTGCTGTGAAAGTACTGGTCATAAAAATGAAAGCTGCCTGAGTGTGCACTCAATTTTGAAGAGAATGTACATTACCTGCTTGTTTAGGCCAGTGCTTTTCTTTTTCCCCACCCACTTTATGAGCCTGGGGCAACACACACTTGGTAAGTTGCCAGAAAGATGCAACGAACACAAAATGGAATTACAAAGGATATGATTTGAAACAAGACATGCATTATGTTGTGTGAAAATCCAAAATTCCTCAAATGCATGCATTTCAAAATGCTCTGAAATTCTGGGGGAAAATATATGGGACAAATAAGTGTATATTTTTCCAAAGTTCTTTTCCCAGGAAGCCTTGTATATGAATATTGAGGAGAGAAAGATCAGTCATTTTAACAGAAAAAATACTCTCAAAAGCATATTCACCAACAGACTTAATATAATTATCTGGCAGCTCTGCAAATATTCTCTGCTGTTTAATTTAATTTAAATACCAACCAACTTACCATGAAATCAACTCTATTTCCACTATCTAGCATTTTGAATATAACCTGGAAATATTCTTATGGATTCACTTATTTTTAAATTCTTTGGTAGCATAGCTATATATCCTAACTCATTTCCACATTCACATTCACAGATTAACAAATTAGAGACAGAAAATAACTATTTGATTACCTTGTCTCCTCCCCCTTCCATAGCGGGATTGTTTTCACCAATATACTCAAGAGTTTTGTCCAGCCTAGTTTTAAAGTAACAATCAGTTGATGTTTCCACCAGTTCTCTTTGGGAGACGGTTCTACAGCTTAACTGACCTGATATTAAGGTTTTTTTTTTTGTCTTTGCTATTGAACCTATCATCTTTTGATCATTTTCTGGTCCACCCGAAACAATACTTTTCCCTCCACAGCATTTACAACCCTCAAATAATAGTTAGAGTTATTGCTCTCCTGAGTAACTATTTAGCTAAGCTACAAATTCGTTCTTTTTATCTTTCCTCAAATTTGGGGAAACCAATGTGGATAATAGACACTCTCCCCTCTACTCCATATAGAGATTGCCACTGTGCTGCATCACTTTTGGTTGCTACATGTGATAGCTTGGCAAGCTCACAATATAGGAAAGTGCATTTATCCATATTGCTCTCAAGTCATTTGGCTTTGTATATTATTCTATTTGAAGTCAATTGGCTTTGGTATTTGACATGTGACAGGTTTTCACATATGCTGTAATAATACACTTTTACCTAAATAACTTTCATTTACCTGATATTTTACTTGAAACTTGAACCTTCACCCAAGCAAAAATGAAACAAGACTCCTTCACTTTGATTGCATTTAGCAAATCTTGAAGCTAGTAAAAGAAGAGTAAACTGCTTCCAATTTACATTTCAGATCCAAAAAATCATAGCATTTATAACAAAAAGGTTATAAAGCTTTTTGAAGTCTTACATTCTGAAACCAATAGAGACAAAAAGTTTTATCCTCTGTTCTCTTACTACTACTACTTACTCCCCTCCCCTTAATATGGGAAAAGCTTCCCATTTGCCAGGGGATTTTTCAACTGCTGAATCTCCAGCTTTACAAGAGCTACATTCTGGATTCCCAATCCTGAGGAGCACAGTGAAGATTCAAGAGAGAAACAACTCACACAGACAACACTATTTTCAGATCAGTGAGATTATGAGGTTAAACAATAAAATTTCACGTTACTTTAAAGCATGACTCAGGTAAGAAAAGTGAATGAAAATCTGGCATCTTTGTCGGAGACAAATCTACTCTGTGTCTTCTAGATCAGTGGTTCTCAAACTAGGGCTGCCACTTGTTCAGGGAAAGCCCCTGGCGGGCCGGGTCGGTTTGTTTGCCTGCTGCGTCCGCAGGTTCAGCCGATCGTGGCTCCCACTTGCCGTGGTTCGCCGCTCCAGGCCAGCGTGGTTCGCTGCAGGAAGGGTGGCCAGCACATCCCTCAGCCCGTGCCGCTTCCTGCAGCCCCCGTTGGCCTGGAGCGGCGAACCACAGCCAGTGGGAGCCGTGATCAGCCGAACCTGCGGATGTGACAAGTAAACAAACCTGCCCAGCCCGCCAGGGGCTTTCCCTGAACAAGCGGCGGCCCTAGTTTGAGAACCACTGTTCTAGACCAAGCCAGCACACATGCAAGAGATTAAACTGTATTCTGTTCTTACTCATGGTTCAGTACAATTGCCATCAGTGTTTTCAGACAGAGAAATTTTGCTTTGGCCCATAAAATGAGCAAAAATTACATGGAAGAATATATAACAACATGGCTATTTTATGGCCTCTTTAAAAACCATACATGTTTTTAAAGGGATTTTTGATAGCTGCTTTCAACTACCTGAAAGGGGGTTCCAAAGAGGATGGATCTAGACCAGGGCCGGCTCTAGGCACCAGGCACCCAAGCACATGCTTGGGGCGGCACCTGGTAAGGGGCAGCGGGGGGACCACGGCGCGGCATTCCGCGGGGGAGGGGGGCGCTCCGGCGGCGCGGCACTGGGGGG